CAAGATCAAAGGGTCATTTAAAAAAATAAAATAACCAGGGCTGGAGAGCTGGCTCAAAGGTTAAGAGCAGTGCCTTGGCTTTGGGAGGACCCACATGGTGGCTCAGTACCGGCTGCAACTTCGGTTCCAAGGGAGCCAACGCCCTCTTCTGACCTCCGCGGACACCAGGCACGCACGTGGTGATGCACCTACATACATGCAGGCAAACACACACAGAATATAAAAACAAATCAATCTCTAAAATAACTAAATATCCAAATGGCAACCAACTGGCCAGTGTGTAGTACACTCCGGGCCATGAACTCGCTTCTGTACTCATCAGCCGCTGTGGCTCGCTCATAGAACAAATGCACCAGAAGGAATTAGAGGGTTAAGTGCGGACCGACTGAGTTCTGAGACCTGCTCACAGGAAACCACTACATCCTGCCCAAGTCCCTCTGTCACGCCGCCTCGCGATTCAAGTCCCCGCCGCGGCAAGGTGGGGCGGGCGCAGGTGTCTCGGCACGAGCCTGCCGGCCGCGCCCACCCCGGCCCCGGGCCGCCGCTTCCGCGGCTCCCGGCGCCTTTTTCAACCTCGCCAAGCTCCGGCGCCCAGGAAGCCCGCACCCCCTCGCATCGGCTGCCCCGCCCTGCCGCGCTCCTGCGGCCGCGCCTCCCGGTAATTACTACGGGGCTCCCGGCTCCGGCCGCTCCCAGAGTCCGCGGCCGTCCGAGGGCCTGCGTGTGAGGGAGGCCGGAAGCTCCTCACGCCCCCGGCCGCGCCCCGGGCTCCCGCGTCCAGGCCGCGCCGCGCGGCCGAGCCCCTCAAGCCGTATGCACCGGCGCCCCGGGCCGGCAGATCCCCGCTTCGCTCGCTCCCTCCGAGGGGAACTCCGGCCCATGCCGCCCCGTCCAGCCGGCGCCTCCCCCAACACACCCCCTCCAAGTCTCGCCAGTCCCGGATCGGCGCCGGCCCCCACCGGGCCCCCTCCTCGCCCGCCAGCCCCGCGCGGCCGGCGCCGCCACCCCCGCGCGCCCGCTGCCCACCCACTGCCGTGCCGCTGGGGGTCCCCTCAGCCCCGGCCCCGCTTACAGATCTTGCCCCGCAGGCTCTGCAGTACTCGGACCTCGCGACTGTCCTCATCTCCCGCCTCGGGTTCTGCCGTCGCGGCCGCCGCCGGTACCTCAGGAGAAGCCGCCGTAGCTGGCGCTGCCGCCGCCATGGTGCCGCCCGGCCCGTGCCGCAGCCCCGCCGCCTGCGTAGCCCGCGAGGCGGAGCCCAGAGCGGCCGAGGCCGGAGAGCTTGCGCCTGGTCCCGCCCCTGGCCTCGGCCGCGTCTGGCCACGCCCCGGTCTGGCCACGCCCCCGAATCTGGCCCCGCCCCGCCTCCTCTGCGCACTCTTGTCCGGCTTAGGTCGCAGCAACTCTTGCTTGTGACCCTGACTGGTTGTGGCTCCGAGCCGCTTGGAAGCCCCCCGTGGGGAGGAAAACCCTGGCCCTGCTATGATCTTGAAATAGTCTGGGAATGGGTTCCCCCCACGAGTGGACCTCCAGGTCTCCCAAGGTTCAAGGAAAATAGAGTCCTCAGTTAAGGGGTCTCCCATCGAAAGAAAATAAAATTTGGCATTTGGGCTAGCATTACAACAAAAGGAACCAAGAGATGCATTAAAGTCCTCCAGCAGTATCCCCATGTCTCCCCGCGAGTCAAGCACCACGCACACAGCCTTTCCCTTAAAACTCTGCCCTAAAAAAGTTGGTTCTTGAAAAAAACTACCGACCCCTGTCCCAGCGTGAGTTAGCGCCCAGACCCTCCGAGAGAGAATTCTGAAGCATTTCCCCACCACCATAAACAGGCTTTTTAGAGAGTAGATTGGCCCTAGGAAATTCGTAAATCTTCAACTAGTTGTTAGCGCTATCTTAAGGAACTATTTACAGCGAGTAAACTGCGTGAATAATACCCTGGTATGTGATGAGGAAGATAATTTCCTGGTCTTGAGGTCGTTAACGGCGCTACCCTAAGAAGGAAGAAACTGACTTTACCAGAGAATCAACAGGAGTCAGTCAGTCACAGTTAACAAATATTTTTAAGGGTCAGTGATAATGATAGCCTTAGAGACTCAGCAAAAGCCAAGTGCAGAGAGCCCCAGCCCTCCAGCACCTCGGGGAGGACACACAGAAAAGGGCAGAGGTGCAGGGATATAAGAAGAAAGGTGAGGGAGCCTGGAGTCAGGACAGCCTTCCTGGGAAACGCACACTTCCTGGGAAGGGTGAACTAAAGACCAGCAGGAGAAACAGACGCATTCCATAGTGGAAGCCCGTCCAAAGGCCAGACAGCCAGAGGGACAGGAGCAGAGCAGCGCCTCTAATCTGACTTGTGCTGTGGGATACCCCCTTTCCCCATAGGATCTTTAATCATCTTCGAGAAGAAAGCACACCTCTTTTTTGTTGTTTTTCTGCTTGTTTGTTTTTGAGACAAGGTTTCACTATAGAGCCCTCGCTGGCCTGGAACTGGCTACGTAGTCCAGGCTGGCCTCACAGAGATCCGTCTGCCTCTGCCTCTGGAATGCTGCGTCCGATTAAAAGCATTTTATATGCACTCTTTGTTGTCATTTCAAGCAGTAACTCCAAAACTTACTCCCCTAGCTTTTTTTCCAAATCGAAGTCCGTGCCCACCTGCTGTTATTCAAGCTGGACCCAACGTTTTCTTTCATTAAAAATTTCATTAAAATTTCTCATTAAAAATTTTAAAAATTTAATGTTTTATTAGTAGATACTAATTATATATAATAATGGGTTTCGTTGTAACACTCATACATGTGCATAATGTATTTTGATCATATCCCCCATTACCCTCTCTTGTCCCCTCTCTATGATCCTCTTCTTCTTCCTTTAACCCAGTGAGTTTCATTAGGCTTGCTTAAGCACCTTTCCAGTGACTACACAACTGAAGAAAATGTCTCTCTTAGTCCGGTTTGGTAGAGTACACCTTTAATCCCTGCACTTGGGAGGCAGAGGCAGGGTATCTCTGAAATTGAGACCAACCTGTAGTTCCAGGCCAGTTAGAGCTTCAGAGAGACCCTGTCTCAAAAAGACAACCCCCCCTCTCTCCCTCCCTCCCTCCCTCCCTCCCTCTCTCTCCTCCCCTCCAGCTATAAATCCTAGGGAGGGATGGGACCTTGTAAATCCCTCTCCCATCCACAGCAGGATGTTGACAGGCCCAGTCTTGTGCAGATCTTGTGAAGATAACCACAGCTGCTGTCAGTTCAAGAACATAAAGGCCATGTGATGCTGGGAAGATAGCATTCCAGAGCACTCCAGTCCATCCTCTGGCTCTTGTATTCTTTTTGCTGTCTCTCCCTCAAAGTTCCCTGAGCCTTAATAGGGGTGATAGAGATGTCCCATTTAGGGTTTAGCACTCAGCAGTCACTTATTCTCAGCATTTTGATCAGTTTGAGTCTCTACATGTACCACTGCCCAATGCAAAAAGAAGCTTCTTTGACCAAATCTGACAGCATCACTAATCTATGGGCATAAATATAATTATTAGAAGGCAAGTCAGTGTGAGAATCATGTCCGTTTAGCAAAACAACAGCTGTAGCTTGCCCACTAGGGCCTATGACCTCCCCCGCCATGGGCTTTTGAACAGGTTTATAGTACTAGATGTGAATTCCCTCCTGTGGTACCAGCCTCAGTTCCAAGCTGAAAGTGGTTGGGTATCCCCATAACAGACTTCTTGCTGTTGCATCAATGGGCACATCTTGCCTGACAGGTCAGGAGTGTAGCATGCAGGAACCAGAGCTGAGTAAAACTGCTGGTGACAATTCTCCACCAGCAGTTTGCATTGCACCTTCCAGCATTAGGAGAGCTAGTCAGCAAGGAGGAAGCTTCCAGCTCAGTTCAAGCTTGATTCCTCTATGTCCTGTGACCAAAGAACGTAGTATCTGTAGCAGTAAGTTTTTACCATTTAGATCTGGTGGACAACTGACATCAGTGGCAATTACCTATATTGTTGGGGATGGAGGAACCTTAGAAGTCTCGCTGACCAACAATTCTTGGGGAGATAACGCATCCCCAGCATCAGGATTTCCATTTAATAACCTATGGCTTCTGGGAGAAGCTGTATTCACCCACATAGGGTACCTCCATCAAACTAATTTTTAACTTTATTTTTTAATTAGCTTACCAAGTATCAGGTTTCCTTATGGCATTTTCATATGTCTTTTTGGTTGACCCTCCCTCCCCACTTAGACAGAGGAAACTGACTTTTTATGCTTTCTATCTATATTGCCCCCTGTTTTCGTATCCCTCTGATTCTTTTCCTTTTTGTTCTTTGTCATTGTTCTTGTTTTGCAAAAAAAAACCACTTCATTTAAAGAGCATCAACATGTCACAATTTTTGTTTTTTTAAGGCATGCCTTGATTCAGGTATGAATCCTGATCCTACACTTTCACATGTGTGCCATTTGGGCAAGTTACTCAAGCTTTCTTAAAGTGTTGCTTTTTAAACTTTTCTTAAAATGTATTCTTTTAGGATATATGGAGGTAAAGGAAAATAACCTGAAAGGGGGATAGTAGAGAACAGATGTTACCCAAGGGAAGTGGAAAAAGTGGGAGTAATCAGCAAGGAGGAGAGGAGGGAGGGACATGCAAGGGACCACAGTGTTGGGGAGCGAGGGAAATCAGGAAAAGAAAGATAGCAGAAGTCTGGAGGTATTGGGGGGGAGGGTGGGGATAATGGGGGCACTGTGACTAGGAAGGGAGGGAGGAGGGAGGCTGGATGGGAGAAAAAAGAGTAGAGATGAGTGAATCTCAAGCTAGGAAACCTAGAGGGAAAAGTGATGCCCTAGAAACCCTATGAGAAATGCACAGTGTCTGAACATTAAGGCATATGTATACCTAGGAGCTGATTGGTAAGGAACACAGTGCCAGATAGAAGAGACCGCCCTTAAAGCAACAAACATGCCATACAGCACTCATCAAAGAAGCTTCTTTTTGTAACAGATGGAGGCTACTGCAGAGTTGCACATCTGGTCAGGCACAGAGAACATACACCTGGGAGATGCCCAGTACTAGGTGACACATCCGCAGTTGAATTTCTACAACCAAGGCTTGTGGAACATAGCAAAATAAGGGGAAGAGAGAGGGCTAATGCACCCCTCCACTCTCACCAGTGAGGCTGCCATGTACATCAGACTGAGATACACACAGAAAGTCACAACTGGTTAAGTTTTGGAGAATAAGAGACTGTAGAGTGTAGGATGGGGCCCTATATGGAACCTCACCCACCCATAGCTCAGGGACCATTGAAGAAGAGGAGGCAGAAAGATTGTAAGAGCCAGGGCTGCTTCATGAACACAGGGAGGTGGAGGCTTCCAGGCCACTGGAGACTTGCTCATGTGAGCCTGCAGCAGGGGGTGATGTCAAACTCAGGACCCATGTCAGCTCAATTAAACAAGGGCCCAAAGGGGAGGTAAGAAATAGATGGTGGGCCAGCACTAGACAGAGAACTATTTGAGACTGATTGTTGCTGGGTGAGGGAGAGTATTACTTACATACAACCACTGGATGGGCTGACTAGACTCCAGTGGATGAATTTACACTGAAGGACATTTGGGTACAAACACCTGAATGGCTAGGACTCAGCATGTATGGCAGAGTGCATAGGTTCAGTAGGGGGATGGGGGAGGCATGGGTGGGGGGCAGGGTCTGGATTTGAGTAGGAAATGGTGTATGAAATTTTAAAAGCTCAATAAAACAATTTATTCTTTGATAATTTCACATACATATATACTGTATTTTGATCATATCTACCACTAATTACCCTCCCTTTTCCCTTTCCCACTCTTGCTGAAACTCTTCTCCCCCAAAAGTTTCCCTCTTCTGTATGTGGGGTGGGGGTGTATGTGCATAACCTATTGAGTTTAATTAGGGTTGCTTACATAAGTATGGGCCAGGGGTTATTTAATGGAGCATAGGTATCTTAACAGCGGCTGCACCACAGAAGAAAAGCATTCTCCCTCCCCCAGCAACCATTAACTGCCACTATCCATGTCCACCATTCATACTGGAATGTGGATGGGGCCAATCTTGTCCTGTTTAGATAACCACTGCTGCTGTGAGTTCATAAGTGCAACAGCCATGTCCTGTCCAGGAGACAGCATTCACAGCACTCCTTCCCATCTTCTGGCTCTTACGCTCTTTCCGCCCCTTCTTCCTTGATGTTCCCTGAATCTTGAAGGTGGGTGATGCAGATGTCCATTTAGAATTGAGCTCTTTGACCAGCTCTTTGACC